AGGAGGCATGTGGCGAGGTGACGGCATCACGAATGTGGCGTGGGACCGGCAAGGGGTGGCTGGCGTGAGCCACGGAGAATGTCAGTGTTGCAGCTGCGAATGCGACGAACCGCGGGTCGTCGCTGCGAGTTGGAGTAGGTGGGGACAGCAGTGGTGCTGGCGAACCCTGCCGCACTGCGTTTGGGTGGACCTGGTTGAAATTGGCGGGCGGGAGCAGGGCTTTCCTTAATTGTGGTTGAACCCCCGCATTTAGGCAGAGCAGGGATGGTTGGTGATAGGACAGGAGTACCATTGGCAGGGCGAGCTGTGAATCACTGACGGCGTTTACTATGGCTCTCCTGTTAGCGCTGTTGAAAGCGTTAGTGATGTCGGCTCGTAGGACAAGTGTGCTGGGGTTCGCGGCGAGGCGAGGTAAGACCGAACTGTGTGAATTCTCGCCCGCCTCAGCCTCAGCAGCACCTCCTGAGACGGCCACTCCAAACTGCTGCAGCAGGAACAAGTCCCGCACTGCCCCTGCTGTTAAGAGAGTGCCGTTTTTGCAGCCAGGCGCGTGATGCTCTCGCCAACGGCAACCGGCCTTGTCCTTTCGTCTGGCTTGGCAAGGGCTGTCATGCGTGAGGCGGTGGTGAATAGGCTAGCTATTTGGAGTGGTAGTTTTTCCGTCATAATTGTGTTGACCAGAATAGTGTAGACCAGAATAGTGTAGACCAGAATAGTGACCAGAATAGTGTAGACCAGAATAGTGTTGACCAGAATGGTGTAGACCAGAGTGGTGTAGACCAGAACGGTGTAGACCAGAATGGTGTTGACCAGAATGGTGTAGACCAGCTCGAGTAGATGTGTTTCCACCGCATGGACGTTTCCACCGCATGGACGTTTCCACCGCATGGACGTTTCCACCGCATGGACGTTTTTCCGTCACGATTGTTGTTCCTGAAGGGCCAGCGCCAACTCCATTTTCGCAGCACGGCAAGACCTTCAGAAATGCAGGAAGCGGCGCTAACAGTTGTGCATTCGGATTCCGCACTGGTGGTGCTGGCCTGCGGGCCAGTTGAGTGGTGTGTCAGTCAGGGGCGGATGGGTGTTTGGCGCGCAGGGCTTCCAGCACGGATGGGGTTGGCGGGCGTGCAGACTGGCGTTGCCTCAAGGGCCATGAAAGCCCGTCTGAGACTGCCACGTTGCGCCAGACCTTCCGCCCTGGTGAGCACGCTAGTTTCGTCTTTTTGGTGCCCTGGCAGCGAGGGGTAGGACAGTGAGTCCACCGTCTCATTCCCCCCACGAGGAAAGGGACGTTGGTGCGTCTGGTTGAGATTTTCCTCTGGTTGGTGTCTTGGCTTGGCGGCGAGGGGTAGGACAGTGGGTCCACGTCCACCGTGGCATGGTAGAGCGAGTCCACCATCTCATTCCCCCGCGAGGAACTGTCGCCCCAGACGTGTACGGACCGCTGGCCGATCCGGGCTCCTGGTTGGAGATTTGGTGCAGCGTCGATTGTGCGACCAAAAGCAAAACTGTCCATGCAGTCAATGAGTCTGGGTCGTGTGCCAACCGTAGCAGTGGGTTCAGCAAGGTTGTGGCGGAAAGTGGGTCAAGAGATGATGGAAGTCGACGCGGCAGAGGTGCGTGGCAGGTGCTGCAGAGTTTTCGCTAGGTCCCAGGCCCCAACGCTGGCGAAAAGCGCATTTTCAGAGGCGAGCAATTCTTCGCTCCCTACCCACACGAGTGCTGATAGGATCCGTGACCGTGACGTCACAGATCCAAGCAGCTCCAGAGTCCCTGTCCGTCACTGCCAAGTCGGCCTGATGCTTGTCAATCAGTGAGTGAATCGTCGTCTCGGTGAGTAAATCCATGCGAGTGTTGATGTTGCATGTGGACGATGAAGCCAGCCAGCATCCCGCGCAATCCGAATGCTCTCATCACGGATGGCGTTCCGAGTGCTGGTTCTGCCTCCTCCCATGTCACTCCGCAGCTGCGCAGCACGTGGTTCAGGAGCCGCGGGTCAGGCAAGTCTACCTTCTTCCAGCAGTCACAAGCCGTCGGTAGAGAGAAGGGCAGGCCGAGCCTGAAGTGCGTGCCATGCTGAACTGGGCCGAGGAGAGGCGGAGGAAAGCTGATAGAGGGATGGCAAGGAGCCAGCCAATCACCAACTGACGTGTCACGGACAGGGACAGCATGCGCTGCATGTGCCCAAGTGGGGGGCTGAGGAGCATCCCGCGCGTGGCCTCCACCATTTCTACGCAGCGGTGAGCCTGGCCAGGACTTCCAGGGCTAGCCCGTGCTGGAGTTTTCCTGCTTGTGGCGGCTGGCGGCCGCCGTGGAGCAGCTCCAGGGCCCTTGCTGGGAGGGTGCACTCCGCTTTGACTTTTGAGTAGATTCAAAAGAACGGTTGCCTGGCAGAGGTGGAGGGCTGTTGTGGCGGGTTTAGGGTGGATAACGGTGCCTCCATTAGCGGCAAGGTGGTGGCAAGTGCTGGGATACTGGCCAGTGGGACTATTGCCAAGAGCCCAGCTGCCCGGAAGAACCCTGTGAGGAAGCTGTAGTCGCCCTCTACTGCTGGGTGGGTCACACAGGCCAAGCCCCCCGGGGCGAGGTAGGTAAGGATGCCTGTGCCCAGACCCGCACCCTCTCGGTGCCAATGCGCGGGATTGGGATGTTGCAGGCGGAGAGGAGTGTGGTGAACAACCTCTCCCCCCTGCCCCTCCATTCTTTCTCTTGCGCCGCCCTATCCTCCTGTCCCCAAATGCGAGCGGCGTTTTCCAGACACTACCGGAAGGCATGGGAAAAGACGTCCCCAATGCATGCTTGTTCTGGTTGAGATTAAGATAGTTGTTCCCCTTCCCGGCTGCCCTAACCGATTGCCGCCGCTACGCCGGCGCGAGCCACCGAATTTGAGAAATCAACGTACCAAAGAGCAGGCAAGAGCCCAAGAGGCCCTCATGTAGAGGAGAAAGCAGGGCGCAGGCAGAGGAAAGCTAACCTATACTCTCTCTCGCTCTATCCTCCTGTCCCCAAATCTCAGCGGCATTTTTCAGAGACTACCAGAAGGCATGGGGAAAGACGTTCCCAGGCTGGACCGTGGATGCTGAGTGTGGCGCAAGTAAAGCACTCGCCTGCGATGATTTAGGCATGATTATCAGGCTGTAAGTGTGATTATCAGGCTGTAAGTGTGATTATCAGGCTGTAAGTGTGATTATCAGGCTGTAAGTGTGATTATCAGGCTGTAAGTGTGATTATCAGGCTGTAAGTGTGATTATCAGGCTGTAAGTGTGATTATCAGGCTGTAAGTGTGATTATCAGGCTGTAAGTGTGATTATCAGGCTGTAAGTGTGATTATCAGGCTGTAAGTGTGATTATCAGGCTGTAAGTGTGATTATCAGGCTGTAAGTGTGATTATCAGGCTGTAAGTGTGATTATCAGGCTGTAAGTGTGATTATCAGGCTGTAAGTGTGATTATCAGGCTGTAAGTGTGATTTTCAGGATGTACGTGTGATTTTCAGGAGAGATGAGCAACCAGCCCGGCCTGGCCCGACCCGACCCGACCTGGCCGGGCCACACGGGCTCTCGGGTCGGGTCGGGTCGGGCCGGGCTCGGGCCAGGGTCCTGAAGGTTCTGGCCCGACCCGGGCCTACACACTCGGGTCAACATGGACCCGGGTACGGGTCGGGTCGGGTCGGGCCAGGATGACCCGCCCATACCCTGGCGCCAGCACCTTTGCCCGCGGCCGCCCCTACACCCTGCACACGGCCCCTAAGAACCTCTACGAAATGGTGCAATATTAGTTGCTGGCGCACCTATGAGCAACTGCTGGCCTGAAACGAGCCGTGCAGCCTGTGAATTGAAGTGTCGCTAAAAAAACGCGAAGTTGTAAAAAAAACTCCATTCCTGCATCGCGATTTTCCGTTACCAGCAGGAAACGATAGCAAACTAGCTATAAATGTCTGTCAATGAGGTTTGAACGGGTTGTAACTAAGTAGTTTCTAAGCTTAGGTGACTTGCTTGCGGCCGTTAGGCAAGATTGAGAGCGTGGGTAGGTTCTGATGTCGAGGGGATAAACAACCCCTCGACAACAATTCGACCTAGGGTTTTGTCCCCGGTCCTGACCTGAATTCGGGTCGGGTCAAGCCTGACCCGAAACTCGACCCGACTCGGCCCGAGTTCCATGCTCGGGTCGGGTTTTAGGCCGGGTCCGGTCGGGTCGGCCCGCACGGGGCAAGCAAGTGAAACTACTGACCCGACCCGGGCTAAACCACGCGCGCGGGGCAAATGCTCATCTCTAAGTATGAGGATGTGTGTGATTTTCTGGATGTAAGTGTGATTATCAGGATGTACGTGTGATTATCAGGTTGCAAGTGTGATTATCAGGATGTACTTGTGATTATCAGGATGTACGTGTGATTATCAGGTTGTAAGTGTGATTATCAGGATGTACGTGTGATTATCAGGATGTAAGTGTGATTATCAGGATGTACGTGTGATTATCAGGATGTAAGTGTTGACTTCAGGATGTAAGTATGAGTATGAGGATGTGTGTGATTTTCAGGATGTAAGTGTGACAATGCTCTGTCTAGGGTGGAATTGACTCCACACAAGCTGCTAGTGTTCAACACTCTTGCTTTCACTGATTTCTGCGTGTGCTGGTGAGATTTGCGCCATTTTTTCCCAGTTTGCTAGTGTCACCATGCGATTTCCTCAACTCCTCCCTGCTTTCATTCAACCCACCCACCCACCCACCCCACATAGATCTTTGACGGCGAATCTGAATGGGTCTATTCCTGACAGCATCTCCTCTCTCACTCAACTATGTGAACTGTAAGAACCCTACAGTGAAGCTATGAGCTCGCCTTCTTGTATGCTTAGCTATTTGAATAACCGCGGATCAAGGAAGTTCAGTAGAAAAACACACTGATATATAGATAGAGAAGGGCACATCGGGAAACAATAACAACAAAAATGCCTCACGACGGTCACATCACATGTAAACGCCTGTGGTTGCATCCGACAAAATGCAGTGGTGTGGAATCCCAACGCCAATACTTGTCACCCTTTTTTTCAATCAATCCTCCTTTCTGTGGGGGGGGGATGTATTCTTCCATCGGAATGTCCTCAGTCCATGCCCACCATTCTCATTTCCTAACTTCTTTTGTTCGCTCCAACCCGTCCACGCACGCAGGACTCTTACAAACAACAATTTGACGGGCTCCATTCCCAATGGCATCGCCAAGCTTTCCTATCTCACCTTATTGTATGGAGCACCTCATTTCACCCTGGTGGTACGCACGGACATTTTAAGTAATCGCATGATCTCTTTAACCCTCAAGAAAATAGTTTTAGTTGCATAATTTAGATGCCACACGTTAGGGTGAGCAAGGGCCGGACGGGTAGATTGGCAGCCCTGTTCGCCCATATACTGCGTGGGCCTGTTCGAGTCTGGCCCGGCACATAATCACAGGGGCGCACGGGGGGAGGGGGGGGGGGGGGGGGGGGGGGGGAGGTCATAAAAAAGAAAACCGCCCATCATCACCACAAGCGGACCGTTTGTTATAGAACTCCGGTCACAAAAAAAGGTCTCAATCATCACCACAAGCGGAAGATGCAAGAAAGGGTCCTTCAACTAAGTTCTGCCATCAAGGCGGTCATAAAACAGAAAACAGACCTCTTGGAATCGCTGAAAAGTGATTGTAGCGAAGTTCTTCACAATAATGTTGGTTAATATATCAACAAAAATTAAACGGTCGTTTTTAACTCTCCTCCCACCATGCTCGTCTCATCTCATCCTTCATTTGGGTCCTCCATTTGTGCTTGCTGTCATTCAGTCCGCGCCCACTACTCTCATCTCATCTCCTCACTTATTCCTCCCCATCCCTTCCCATCCCATCCCATCCCTCGCACTCATAGGTCTCTTTCATACAACGCTTTGACAGGATCCATTCCAAAAAGCATTTACCGGCTTCCTCTGCTCAATCATCTGTATGAAACCTCGTTTGCGCCTGGTACTAAGCATGCAGGGTTAAAGATCACAAGTATTATTTAAGCAAGGTTCTGTCGAGTTTTGAAAAGCTCGTGAGTTGAAATTCAATCATCTTCGAGTTTTGTCACCAAATATAAGACGCAAAACTCGACGTTTTCGAGATACGAGAACGAGTGGAGTAAAAACTCGACTCGATGTTTACCTGGCCCTCGAAGCTCGAATCGGCCGACTTTCCCTTTTTCGGGGTCCTGACCTGACCCTGGTTGTGCTAAATCAAATTCAAGTGGAAAGCAAGGGTTATATTGAATGTACCTATGACGAATGGATCCGAACATGTTTGGGTTCCGGTCATACACTTATGAGTTTGAACCAATCTGAGTAGTGTTCAACTGTACAGCCGAACACTCAAACCCTACTTTTGCAATATTAAATTAGGCCCAAACCGGACGAGTTCGGTTCAGGCTATACTACAAACTTTCAAGTAAGTTCGAGACGAACTTGTTTGAGTTCGCCTTCTGCATATACTACCTCCCACCCACCATGCCCATCTCATCCCCCAATTGGATCGACCATTTGTGCTTGCTGACCCTCATTCCATGCCCTCGATTCTTATGTCCTCATACCACCATGCACACACAGGTCTCTCTCATACAACACGTTGACGGGCTCCATTCCTACTGACATCCGTACTTTGAGTACGGTTCTCACTTATTTGTATGAAGCACCTATGCCATCCTCCAATTGGGTTGACCGTGTGTGCTTGCTGTCCCTCAGTCCAAGGTGCAAAAGTACGGCCGAAATTTTGACATTCTGGTGTATAATAAGATGTTGTATTTTTCGGGTGTATAAAACGGTTTAAAACGCCTACATGCTGTCATATTTATGTGGTGCAAAATTATGGTCGTATTTTACGGTCGGAAATTTGAAACCCTAGTGTGCACGTTTTTCCTGACTGGCACCTTGTTAGCATTTCATAGCTTGTTTGCCAGGCATCCGTGGTAGTGTAGTGAATCGTGATGGTGAAAGCGGGGAAGAGGAGGATGAAGGGGAGGAGGTTGAAGAGTGTGAGGGGGGGGAGGAGGAGGAGGGCTGAAAAAGCGCACACTAGTCAGTTTGTTAGCATCTTATCGCTTGTTAGCTAGGCTGGCCATTAGTAGAATATTGTATTACTTTTGTTGTTGTTGTTGTTTTTTTTTTTTTTCCTTTTCTCCCGGCCACAAACTTTCTAACAAAAATACGGCCGAAATTTTGAAATCTGGCTGTAAAATACAGGCGTAAAATACAGACCGTATTTTTCACGAACCGTCATTTTGCACCTTGCCTCAGTCCATGCCCACTCTTCTCATCTCCTCACTTCCTCCACCCTAACCCTTACCACACACAGGTCTCTTGCAAACAACAATCTGACAGGCACCATTCCCAGCGACATAGTCACGCTTGGTCAGCTTAATTATCTGTATGAGACACCTCCTTTAAGGCTGGGACTAAGCACGCACGATGAGTACCCACACCTTGAGTGGGCCCTGTGTCATTGTCTGGTTTGAAGAGCTGCGTGCATTTTAAGCTGCTGCAGTGGTTGCTTCTTTTCAGTTCTACGGTCTCAATAAACTCATTGAAGCTATTGACAACCACAAGGATCGTCTTGCTCTCCCCCGCTCCTCACCGCTCCTCATTCTCCCTCCCCGCTCCTCATTCTCCCTCCCCGCTCCTCATTCTCCCTCCCCGCTCCTCATTCTCCCTCCCCTTCGTTCACTCATTTCTTCATCTTCCATGGACTGTTCTTCATCTTGCAAATGTATGTTCCTCCTTTTCTTATCAAGCATAGGGACCCGAACCGCGACACGTGTTCTGCTCATGTCTGCCTCCCAGGCATGAGCAGAAAGGCCAACCCAATACTGTCGGATGCGACACATTTGGCTTGTTTCTTGCGTGGCATGGCGAACGCGAACGTGTGCACCTGTTTCTCGAACGTGTGCGAACCCAACGGGGTTCGCATCAAAACCACGCTGATAACCAGCGGCTGGTTTGTATTTCAAAACAGGATGTCTATTTCTGGGCTCTACTTTGATCCACATCAAGTCGATATCTCGCCATGATCTTAAGCCACACGTGGGCTTATTATGATTCATGCTAGTAACATTTGGTTTGTATCAGTATAGACGCTAGGGAAACATATGGAAGGACAGCTACTGCATACAGTTAGATTGTCAAAGGTTAGGGGCATATGTTGGGATTGCGAGGGAAGGTGATGTGAGCAAGGGACGTATAGAAGGTTGCGCGGAATTAATTTCGAGGAAGAGGCAAGGGTTGTGCAAATGCATTCGGTTTCGATTCGAGATAAGCTAGTTCTGTTCTCGTATTGCTCATGCCTACTCCTCACCCTGCTCTTGTCATCCCTCAATTTGCTGCTGTCACTCCGTTCATGCCCACTGATCTCATCTCCTCACATTTTCTGTTCCAACCCACACCACGCACACACAGGTCTCTTTCAAACAACGCTTTGAAGGGATCCGTTCCAGAAAACATTTACTGGCTTTCTGAACTATCTTATCTGTATGAAGCTCCTCTTCCGATCCTGGTGCTAAGCATGCGCGGTAAAATATCACATGGCCTGATATCCTTGATCACATAATCTAGATGCCACACGCAAGCGAGAAATAAGAAGTTTCGGATATATGATCAGAATATATATGGCCACTCAAATGGCAGCCAAAACAGTGTGAATATTCTGTAACTCCTCTTCATGGCCCTCCCCTTCCCAACCTAGATTTTGGCAAGAATTGCACATTTTTCAAACTGGGGTGTGCGAGTCGAAACAGTTTCAACAATTACAGTTAAATATGATATCGTCTCTTCGGAACTGGCGCGCTAATTGAATACATTCCTTAGAGTTGGTTTCGCGTAGTAATAGGAGTAGATTACTCAGTTTGTGAAGTGAGTGTGTACGCGTTTGTCTGCGTCAGTTTTGTGTATGATGCCTGGTTGGGTTTGGGAGGTGCATTGGGTACGGTACGGTGGGTTTTGGGTGGGCATGGATGGTTGGGAAAAAAATGCGAAATCACTATCACGATAGAATTCAAGGCAATTCGACTCGGAACAGTGAAACACAGATTTTCGCGATTCTTATTTTCCACCGATTGTGTTTCACGTCATTACTGAAAGAAAAACACAATCGCAAAACTCATTTCCACACAAGCAATGTACTTCGAATTTTAACCAGCCAACGTAATGAAGCAATACGCTGTTCTGTTCGTGGTTTTTTTTTGGGGGGGGGCTCTGCGGGCTCTCAATGCCTATGGTGACTCTGAAAATGAGTCGAGTTTTGAGTCGACTCAAAACTCGACTCTGTAAATACCCCAAAGCTTAAACATTTCATGTTAGGGTCGAACACCTTACTGTTCACCTACAAATCATCACGGTTTGACTCTGCTGTAGAACTGTCGAACCCTACCCTATTGGAGATTAGTTTGAGTTCGACGTTTCGACTTCGGTTCGACAACACCCTACGATCGACCAAGTTAAAGTTATATATTGGTCGTAACCAATTAGGGCGTGTGTGATTTTGCCGAACCTGACTGAAAGTTCGAACTTTTGTAACGGTTCGTCACGGTAGGATACAATTAGAAGAGTTTTGCCACGGTGCAAAGCGGTTTGAGTTCGAACTTTGTCAGGTTCGGCAAAATCACACACGCCCTTAGGGGTATCCATTCCTAGATGAGCACGTGCTAACCCCTACTTGGGGCTGGCAGAACACGCCTGCACGGGGGTGGGTTCGATCCCAGGACCTCATCTATCGGAAGTGCCTCTTTCTACTGACTAGGCCGTACGATCGACCAAGTTCTAGTTGATCATGTTCGAGTTCACCTGTTGCTCATGTCTACTTCAGTCAGTACAAACGTTCAAGGGAGTTCAAGACAAGCTAGTTTGAGTCCGCCTTTTGCTCAAGACCGTGTGTGCGTGCTGTCTCTCAATCCATGCCCTCGATTTTCATCTCCTTCCTCCCCTTCAACCTTTACCCCGCACTCACACACAGGTCTCTTTCATACAACGCCTTGACGGGCTCTATTTCCAGTGACCTCTTCGAGATTATTGGACTCACTTATCTGTATGAAGCACCGTGTGTAGGCCTGATTGTAACTTGTAAGCATACATGATCATAGATCACATGAACCTGGAAAACTGCAAGAGAATATATTTTTATCCCACACAAGCAAGGAGTTTCAGGTAATAAAAACGTGTATGGTCACGTCAATACCAGCCAAGCCAGGCTGAATATTCCAAAACCTCTTTCTCCCCCCCCCCCCCCTTCCAAGCCCAGGTTCAACGATAGCCACAAATTCGTCGAGCTGGGTGTGCGACTCGAACCGGTTCGAGCAATTAGAGCTGAATACGAACTCGTTCACCTCGAACCAAACCGAACTGCGATTCAGTTTTGACTCCTCCCTGTCTCCCAGCATGCCCCTGTCACCCCCCAATTGGGTCTCCCAGCATGCCCCAGTCACCCCCCAATTGGGTCAACCATATATGCTTTCTGTCGCTCAGTCCATGCCCTCTCTTCTCATCACTGATTTTGCCCAAACCCAACCCATACCACGCTCACATAGGTCTCTTTCAAACAACAAATTCGCGGGCTCCATTTCCAGCATCTTATTCACGCTTCCTCGGCTCTCTTATCTGTATGAGGCACCCCCCACCATTTGAGTTCGCCGTTTGCTTGTTCTACCTCCCACCATGCTCGTCTCATCCCCCAATCGCGTCAACCGTGTGTGCTTTCAGTCGCTCACTCCATGCCCGCTATTCTTATCTCATCACTTATTCCGCCCCAACCCAACCCATACCACGCACACTCAGGTCTTTTTCAAACAACGCTTTGACAGGCTCCATTCCCAGTCAGATTTACGGGCTTAGTGTGCTCACGTATCTGTATGTATGATGCATGTTGTGAAAGCCTGATGCTAAGCATGCGTGATCAAAGATAACATGAATCAAAATCCGCGAGAGAACATCCTAGACTTCAAGCAAGCAAGAAACAAGGAGTTTTGGGTAATCAAACATGGATAACAATGCCACTTGCAGCCAAGCCAGGCTAAATATCCTGGTCATGGTCACTCTAACCGAACTGCGATTCAGTTTATGCTTGCTCATACCTCTCTCCCATCATGCTCGTGTCACCTCCCAATTGGGCCGACCGTTTGTGCTTGCTGTCTGTCGCTTAGGGCATGTTACATCTGGTGCAAATCTTGAAGTGGACTATCTGATTTATTAAGGTTCGAACTACATGCCAATTTCCAGTCAACCACAATGCTACATCTAGGGTTGAATATTGAGATTCAACCCTTGCCGAGCTGTGAATAGATCTAGTAGGCTACCCAGTGTAAACTACTTGGCTCTGGCGTTGTTTTCAAGATCAGTAGGCCTGATCCGTCGAATGTGGCCAAAAATGGCCACGATCAAATCTGTGTGTGCGCGCATTCTCATCAACAGATTTGACGTTGATTCTATTGCCTTGACTTTCCATGTCAAGAAGCCGAACGTGAAAACTCAAGCGAAGTTGGCGAAGCTGGTTACCAGCAGAAGATCGACCTGTTTACCGAGCCAAATTCTGAATGCAACATGCCCTTATTCCTTGCCCTCAAATCGCATCTCCTCCCTTCTTCCGGCCCAACCCATACCACGCACTCACAGGTCTCTTTCAAACAACATGTTAACGGGCTCCATTCCCAGCAAAATATTCTCGCTTCCTCAGCTCGCTTATCTGTATGAAGCCGCATCTCGTTTGAGGCTGGGGCTAAGCACGCGCGGCACAAGTAGTGGTGGTGACACCTAGAGTGGGCTGTGTAACGGTTTCAACTCCATCAATTAGAACTCCTTTCATATCGTCTGTTTTTTGGGGCTGGTTACATGTTTGGAACCGTTCGCCCAGACCCAAAATCTTATTCGGTTTTCACTTGTGGCTGCCTCCCATCCCACCATGCTCGTCTCATCCCTCATTTGGGTGGACGGTGTGTGTTTGCTGTCCCTCTGGCCATGCCAACTTTTCTCGTCTCCTCACTTCTTCCGCCCCCAACCCACACCACAAACAGGTCGTTTTTCAACAACAGATTCACGGGCTCCATTCCCAACAGCATCTCTGTGCTTACTCAGCTTACTTATCTGTATGAAGCACCTCGTTTCACCCTGGTGATAACCACGAACGTGATTAACGGTCGCATGAACCCTAAAACCCTCAAGAGTACATCCTAGGTCCGCATAACCTACGTATTCCTGTGTAGTGGAAATCATATATGACGGAAAATCTGGAAGCCAAGCCAAGGATGAATATCCCGCAACTCCTCCTCCCAGCTTCTCCCCTCCCAGGTCGAGTTTGTCACACCAGTTCGGCTAGTTTGAGTCGAACATAAACCAGTTCGCCTCGAACAAAACTGTGATAAGGTTTCTGCTCATACCTACCTCCTCCCATGCTCGTCTGATCGTCAAACTGGGGACCGAATCTGCTTGCTGTCCCCCAGTCCATGCACAGAATTCTTGTCTCCTCACTTCCTCCACCCCAACCCACACCACACACACACACACAGGTCTCTCGCGAACAACAATTTGACCGGCTCCATTCCACACGGCATCTCCGTGCTTGTGCAGCTCACTCATCTGTATGAAGCACCTCGTAGGCATGAGCAGCAAATGGCAAACACGAGTATGTTCGAACTCTCCTTGCCTCGAACACCCGTGTTCATCCATGGTGTGTTGTTCGGATAAATGAAATGGCGAAAGGAGAGGGTCGGTGCATATTTGGGATGTGTTTGAGGATCATCAATGTTGTGCAAAAGATGGCGCACACCATTGCGTGCCCTGGTGCGACGAGGGGCGCAACAGTGAGGAGCGTTCACTGCACTGCACTGGCGCGCACCAGGGCAAGCTTTGAAACCCGGTTGGCTCGCGTTTCCGTCGGCTCGGACGCTTTGAAACTCGGTTGGCTCGCGTTTCCGTCGGCTCGGAAGCTTTGAAACCCGGTGCACTGCATCGCACTTGTGCGCACCAAAGCAATCAAATTTGCCGCAATCCTGCACTTCGTCTCAAGCACGATGTGTGGTTGCACTCCTAGAGTGGGCTGTGTAGGGGCTTCATTTGCATTGATTAGAATTCCAATCATATCGTGAAGGGCTGCTTGCATCGCAAACCACAACCCCCATGATTGCTTCTACTCAATTTTAGCATTAAAAATAAACGTCACTGAAGCTAATGGCCAGCCAGCATTAGGTCGTCTTGCTCTTTCCCCCCGTCATCTCCCTCTCCTTCATCTTGTATGTTCTGCTTTTCATGGTCAAATAGACGTATACATGGGAATCGCTTGGTTGGATCTCTTCCATCCTTTCTCAGCCGCTTGATCAACCTGGTGAACCTGTGAGCATCATGACTTCAGTACTAGGCTATTTCATCCCAGCTACAACCATTGGCTTGTTGACAGCACTGAGAGAACTGGCTAAACAGCTGTACATCATTAATATCACTGCTTTGCCGTGTTGATACAATCTAAAAGCTCACGGCTTGTGTGCTGTGCGGCCATGCCATCCATCCTTGTGCCCCAGATCCATCCTCATCTCAACCACCATGCCTCCTAAACTTACCTTTCAGCAGCTGTTTCCATCTCCTCTCTTTTCCCTCCACCCTCCCTACCCTCATCTACTAATGCGTCTTCCTTCTGCTCCCAGTCCGATGCTGTTCGTTCTCCTCACCTCACCTATGCTCCCGCCCCCCACTTGTTGGAATCTTGACTCGTCAATCAAGAAGTTGACTCTATTAAGGAGTATACATAGGATGCAAGAGCGCAGTTGGTCCTGCATTGTGTTGGGTAGACCAATCACAACAGACCAGTGTGGAGTGACCACCAATCACCTCATTGCTTGTGTTGGGGGCTCCACCACAAAAGGGTGGATAGGGACCTCAACACAAATGCACGCCCAAATTCGGTGGAATAGGTACACGCCCAAGTCAACTGTACACCACAATTGGTGTACAGTCACACCATGCTACCATATAATCTAACGTCCTCACATTCCCTTGGGCTGCTTGCATGTGCTTCCTGACTGTCCTGCCATGCCTGCTTTTCTTATTTCTTCAATTCCTTCATCCCACAACACACAACACACAGGGATCTCTCATCCAATTCCCTGAGTGGCCCCATGTTCACCAACTTCGCCTTCCTTGATGGCCTCACCTATCTGTACGAAGCTCACTAGCATCATTGTTCTATGTGCTGAGCCAAGGCCGCACTGCGCTCTTTGTGTGCCAAGCCTGCACTGTGCTCTCAGCCATCAACTCACTTTCATCATTGATGTGTGTGGCCCTCCACAGGCTTCTCTCCCCGTTTGCTGTTCCAAATTTAAAGGATGCTGGGATGTGCTATGACCAGTTCAATGGTGCACTGCACCTTTAGACTTGCTGTCGTGCATGCATTCTTTCTCTATATGTTGCATCTTAGAGTTGAGCATGTGGCCCAACCCGACCCGACCCGACCCGATTTAGCCGGGCCATGCGGGCCCTCGGGTCGGGTCGGGTCGGGCCGACCTCGGGCCAGATTCCCGAAACAGCTGGCCCGACCCGGGCATACTGTCTCGGGTCAAAGGTGACCCGAGTTCGGGTCGGGCCGGGTCGGGCCAGGAAGACCCGCCCCTTTAGGGGGAGGGTGGGGGTGCCCTTCATGACTTGTACATTTCTTCTGTTAGTCTTGTTATTACTATATTTTGGTGATACAAGTTTCTCTTCCACCTGAAGGTGTGATGGTCTCGTAATCTGTCCAACACTTGCTATGACATGTAAAATAGTCTAGGGGTATCCAAACAGTAGAGACATCACGAAACAACAGTGCGATTGGGTTTCCCATAGGGTCCGCCCCAACAAGTGCAATAAGTTCATGCAAACTATAAATATGTCTGCTAATAAAATCCTCAAAGCAGGATCTGTCAATGCAAGCTTCCGAACGTAAGAGGGGGTCGCTAATAAATATGAAGGTGCAACACCACCACAATCACAACGAGAAAAGACCTCGCAGCAACTCATGGTGGGGAACCGGCTCTCACAACCCTAGCTGCTCTGCCTCAAGGCACAGCTGCGCAATCGTGGTCCTGCCACCACGAACCTCAAGTCTCTGTCCAGGGTGGTGATCCTGCCAAGTCTTGATCATCATGGCCGCACGCATCTGCTGTGGGCTCAGATGGTGCCGCTGCCACCAGATGATGTTCCTGCTCTGACTGAAGGCTCTCTCACTCGCTGCAGACGTGGCGGGGATACCCAAATAATCGCGAGCCATAGCCCTAAGCCCGGGCAGCTGCAGCTCCCTCCCGCGCCAGTACGCTAAGGCGCACCCACCCTCCTGCCTCGCCTCAGCTAAATACTGGTCCACCTCGTCCTGTGCCCGCACCCCCTCCTCTGCCTCCATCTTGGCCAACTCAGCGAACAGGCTAGCCTGAAAGTCCAGCACGCCACGCGACCTGGCCCCCCTGCGCCCTGCAGCCCCGCTCCTCGCCGCGCCCTCCCCCGTCACTCCCCTAGCGCTCGTAACCTCACCCCCAAGGCGTGCCTCTGCCGCTGCACGGGCTGCTGTCAGGTAGGGTGGAAGGCGCTCGCGTACGAGCGCCTTCACCCTCTCCTCGCTCAGGTCGAGTGTCCTGGCACCCCTGGCATGCCCCCCCGCCTCTACCACAATGGGCGCACTAGTCCTCGCCCCCCGGGCCCTGAGCCTGAAGGTTGCCGTCTTGAGCCGAGGATCGAGGAAGGTGGCAATCGCACACCCCTCCCCGGGTTGAGAGGTCCTTGAACAGCTGCGAGACGTCTGGCGAAAATTTGTGCGCCTCCAGGATATCCAGCAGCATGTTGTACTGGGGCACGACCGATCCCATGGTGGGGTACAAAGACCCCTCCACGAACAGGGTGATGCGATCAAACGGCTCCAGGAAACCCCGCAGCTCGTTGAGGGCTGTCCAGTGGGCGTCGGACAACCTGATCTCTGCCCATGCCGTGCGTGTGGTCTTCGTGATGTTTGGCTGAGAGGAGGAGAGAGGGAAGGGGATGACAGTGATTTGGTTGGATTGGAGGTGACTTTGGGGCAGTATATGGTGATGTGATGGGGTTGGGAAGGGTTGAGCGCCCACATGGCATAGATGGCCTGACCATTCGATATAAGAACATGCATCACCAGGCCCTCGCGCAGCTGCCGCTCCCCAACCCGAGTCGTGACATACTGATCAATGGTACCCTGCCTCCCCCCCCCAACGGCGGCTCCTCCGGTCAACCCACTCGGCCCGGCCCCCGTATCTGCTGCCGGAACGTCAGGCCATGTGTCAGCGTGCTCCCACGGCCACTTCGTCTTATCCGGTACTGTAGGTCCCCAACCCCCATCCGGGAAAACTAGCCCATCAGACTTGTTTGGGTCCAGAAAGCGACGGACCCAAATCTGAAGGCTAGGATAGTGCGCCCGTTTCAAATGCCGGCCCCCGAGGACGTGTTGCCTAAACGCCAACTTATCACCAAGTTGCACGTAAGGCATCGCCGGGCATCGTTGTTCAATGCACCGAACATGCCTTTCACCAAGCCCGGCTCTCCCCTGCTCAGAGCGCTCTGAACGACAGGATCCAGGTCCTTCTCGGTCGGCAACTGGTTGGCCTCCCGCATTGCGTTGATAGTAGCCCAAGACACACCAATGCGGCGCGATCCAGCAGTGGCCGCGGCAGCAGCAGCAGCAGCAGCAGCAGCACAGCAGCAGCAGTGGTGCGAGGGCGTCCGGCAGCGCGAGGACGTGCAGCAGCAGGAGTGGTAGAGGGCGACGGACGCCAG